AAGAGTGTAGTTCAACACGTTGTCCAGTGTCAAAGCCACACCTAGTGTGAGTTTTGAATTGATTAAGTGTTGGAGTTCTAAGGCAAGCCATTAAGAGATCGAAGAAGAGTGGAGACACACAAACTTCAACAATGGAATGTTGGAGAAGTACRYGACACTACAATCAAGTTGTGAAAAGTGGAGATATAGTGAAATCTTGGGAAATAAAGTTGAGCAGAATGAGTTTCTTACAGAAATGGAAATTGTAAGTGTTGGTCAGATAAAGTAAAGTCTAAATCAGGAGATCGGTATGGGTTGAGCTCGATGTAAGATAGACATGGATGTCGGTAAAAGCAAAGGGTGTGTAGAAAAAGCCAAAGGAATCAAGCTTAAGGATTAGTGTAAGAGGTGGAGCTAAGCTTCATGATCGTTAACCACTGCGATGTGGCTATCTCCTAAGAACAATTGCGTAATGAGAAAAGATGATTGGGGAGAAAGGTGTTCGAGAAGGTTTGCAAGGCTAACCACTTCAAACAAGTTAGTAAAGACGGTAAAAGACATGGTGTATACTTGTTGGGCTGTCCAAAGATTGGATGGATGTTCAAGTGGAAATCCTTGTGGAGTTGAGGAAGTTTTTATAAGACACAACAAAAACGTGGAACCCAACTAGAAGAATATATTGGTGAGGTGCTAAGGAAGCATAATGTCGGTGTTGATAAAATTAACTCTTCTAGACAAGGGAGTCATATTCATGGACGAGAAATGGGAAGGACTGGTGGTCCAAAACCAAAGAAGTATAGATTTTTCTTTTCCAATGAAAGTCATAAGAGGTATGGAGAACATCTTGTGTCAACATGTTACTAGCGAAGCAAGTATGCAAATCCGATAATTGTAATGGGAATGTGACTCATCGGTCTAAAGGACAAGGAAATATCATACAATACGAGGACATGGACAAGAATTGGATAACTCACAGGAAGTCATAGGGGTTGAGATATCATCCTATGATGACATCTGCTGGTCAATGATGTTGTGGTGCAAATGCTGTATGGAAATCAGGTAAGTGCACAACGACGGATGAGTGATGATAACATAAGGAAGATCCCGATTAAACAATGGAAATGAACAAAGTGGCGCGATAAGACCACGGTGGAAGCATGGCAACGCATTATTCACTTGGATGTTCTACTGAATTGMTAATTGAGCAAGGAGTGCTTGTTAATTATTGRTAGTGCTWAWTGAAATGAGGACTCATTWCAGTTAGATAAGTAAAGGCAAAATACCACTTTKAAATTTGTTGTTTAGGGATGATACTTCAAAGTTTGAATATRAGAARAAATGGATGAATGAAAAATCTTGTAGGGAACGACCTCCCTTACAATGTGTTTACATGCAAAAGTTCTAGCAATGAAACCTAGGCAGAAACGATATCATAATTATAAAGGTTAGTCAAAAAGCTCAAAAGTTATGGGTTAAGACAATGAGACGATACTAGAGTACTAGTGGACGGTCGGGTTTGACTACCTTCCAGAGTAAAAATATGGGATATGGAGATGGTCTTTTCTTTGAAAAAAAATGGTCTTCAGATGTTCGATAGTAAGCACTTGTGGATGTAACGGTGATGGGGTAAAGAGATGTTGCAGGAGGAAGGAAGAATTTAAGAGCGACAGAAATGCCATGTCAGAATAGAAGAATTTTTTTAGATAGTGTGACACGGAAGTGGAGTCGGTGTATCAATGCGTCTTTCAGAAGTACTTTTAGCTCCGTAAGGGCTCAAACCGGGTTCACTCATGTTT